TGAAAATCCATCCCATTGCTGTTTTCCTCCTGACAGAGCTAGCTTTGCTCCTCGCTTTGGGATATCTCCAGCAAGGGGCCAGTCTGTAACTCTTCGCCTGGGACCCATTGGATGTGCAAGGTGCCCTCGACGAGGTGACCCCAGCATGGCACCCAGCCCCCTCAGACACACTCCCACAGCATTCTTCCTCATGGGCAGCACCTCGCTGACCCGGGAATGTGTTTGCAAGGCTCGGAATGTGCAGGGAGACACACGACCCTGACTCTGGAATTGAGGTCCTCGGAGCAGGCCTGCAGGTCTGACGTCTGAGAAACAAAACACTTGCTGCAAATAGAGGCCTGAAAACACACTCTCTGTGGATGCCTTTCCATCCTGCAAGGAAGACAGCTTTCCCAGTCTCCCGCGTGCTGTCACACAGCTGGAATGTGCTTGCGTGGAGGTCATGGTCAGTGGCAACGGCCCCTGAGGCCCTGTGCCCGGGTAGGGCTCCCACACTCAGGCAAATCAGAGCAACTTCTAAATGAGGCAGCTCTTTGCATCTAGTGGCCAAAGTATTGGAGTTTCAGGCTCAATATTAGTCTTTCCAATGTATATTCAAACCTGATTTCCTTTAGGATGGAGTGGTTGGGTCTCCTTGTAGTCTAAGCGACCGTCGAGCATCTTCTTCAACACTACAGTTCAAAAGCATCAAATCTTTGGCTGTCAACTTTCTTTATAGTCCATCTTTCATATCCATACATGACATATGGAAAAACCATAGCCTTGACTAGATGCATTTTTGTTGGCAAAGCAACATCTCAGGTTTTTAATATGCTGTCTAGTTTGGTCATCACTTTCCTTCCACGTCATAAACATCTTTTAATTTCATGGCTGCAATCACCATCTGCAGTGATTTCTGAGGCCCCAAAATAAAGTCTGCTGCTGTTTCCACTGTTTCCCCATCTATTTGCCATGAAGTGATGAGACTGGATGCAATGATCTTAGTTTTCTGAATGCTGAGCTTTAAGCCAACTTTTTCACTCTCCTCTTTCACTTTCATCAAGAGGCTCTTTAGTTCTTCACTTTCTGCCATAAGGGTGGTGTCATCTGCATAGCTGAGGTTATTGATATTTCTCCCCACAATCCTGATTCCAGCTTGTGCTTCCCCCAGCCCAGTGTATCTCACGATGTACTCTGCATATAAGTTAAATAAGCTGGGTGCCAATATACAGCCTTGACATATTCCTTTTCCTATTTGGAACCAGTCTGTTGTTCCAGGTTCAGTTCTGTTTCTTCCTGACCTGCATACATATTTCTCAAGAGGCAGGTCAGGTGGTCTGGTATTCCCATCTTTTTCAGAATTTTCCCTAGTTTATTGTGATACACGCAGTTGAAGGCTTTGGCATAGTCAATAAAGCAGAAATAAATGTTTTTCTGGAACTCTCTTGTTTTTTGATGATCCAGTGGATGTTGGCAATTTGATCTCTGGTTCCTCTGCCTTTTCTAAATCCATCTTGAATATTTGGAAGTTCACAGTGGACGTTATCGCTGAAGCCTGGCTTGGAGAATTTTGAGCATCACTTTACTAGCGTGTGAGATGAGTCCACTTGTGTGGCAGTTTAAGCTTTCTTTGTCATTGCCTTTCTTTGGGACTGGAATGAAAACTGACCTAACAACCTAGATGTTTTCAATTGCATATGCTGAAAGAACTGGCTTTGCAGTTTCCAAAGAAAAAAAGTTTCAATTTAACCAATTTTCTCTGAAGTCCAAGGAATATCATGGCCATCCTGCATCAAAAAGTCATCTTTCCTTTATGTAGTCATAGTTTCATGCCTAAATTATAGACCAACTCGTGCTCAAATTGACTCTGATATCAGGGGAAGATCAGCTGATAAAAAGCTTGGATTGTCCCTCTGGAGGCAAGTGAGACCTTGGTCCCATGGGAAGAATCTGAGGGCTTAGGGGGATTAGCAGGAGTGGGGAAAGCTTGGTCCATGCTACATGCACTATAATCTTAAATAACGCTTATTTAGTTTACCAAAGTAAAAAAACAGATGATAAAAACAAATATAAATCACTGAAAGTCAAAGAAATTCATCATCTGTGATCAAAAGCTTCATTCTAAGAAAATTTTGTTCTCTTAACCTAGAGAGGAGACTAAATTCCAGTCTGGTACCAGCTTACCAGATAACAAACAAAAAAAAATTGTTTATGGGTAAGCTTAGAAAAGTCTTTCCTATATGTCTTGAAGTAGCAGTATTTTTGCAAAGGCATCAGTGTGAAACCATAGAAGGGATGTTTAAAACCTGATTAGATAGAAATTGACAAAGTAGTTTGGTCACTGCTGTGACTTGAAACACTTTAATATGATAACTAGAATTATAACTGACAGCATTTCGCCAGGACATATCAGAATTTCATGGGTGTCACATAATTTCTAGGATACCTAGATTAGTAACTGAAGGAGTCTTTGGGCCTAGAAGAGAAACCCACAGTCTCAAAGGCTTTTGCTGAATTATCTAACTTTGGAGAAAACAAAAGCGAACTTTAGGTCCTGCCCTGAGGCTCCAGGCCAGTTGTATCTATCTGGGACTTATCACCCCCTGCCCAACTACAAATGCCATCTCTCCTTCCTTCTTTTCTGCCTCAGCCCAAACTATACCTTACAGTAACATCCACCATATAATATAACTTGGGAAGGTTCATCACTCCTTCTGACAGCACTTCCCATATAGTTTAACATGCCAAATGAACTCAGGTTGTTTAATATCTCTCTTGGGGAGGTCTTGGGGCCCTCTGAAGCATCCCAAATTTAGCTAGAAGTCAATTATTTAGGAAGGTTTGTTCATAAATATCAAAAGGGTTTATAACAGTCACGTAGGATCACATAAGTCACTGTGAAACAATACTTATCCACTTAGCCAAAGTTAACAAAAGATTTCAAAGGTAAACCTAGAACAGATCACTTAAGAGGTCAAGAAACTTAAAATCCATTAACAAAGGCAGTTCAACATCTCAAGAAAACTTGTACTAGGCACAAAACTCTTTTCTGGGGGTCCACTTTCCATAAAACCTCCTTATCCCCTTCTGAAACCATTCCTTTGTCTCCCATCCTGAAACTGCCACCTGTAAGTCAGAACTACTTTGTTTTCCTTCATAAAATGCGATTTCATTGCTCATACCTTCTTTAATAACAAGTCATAAATTTTCCGTAAGCAACCAAGAACTGACTTTTATATTGGCATTCTATAGATTGGTGAACATACGTATCAGTGATAATATCTAAAAAAAAAAAAAATTGCTTTCCTATACTGAACATCTCAGGATGGCACCAGACACTATTCATGGATAGTCAAAAATCTCTTTAGTTTCTGTGTAAGAGGAAGGTCCTGTCAAGCAGTGAATGTTTCAGAACCTTAATTTATTTGGAAATGACCTAGCTATTCAATACACTGTCATCACTTAGTTTAGCACAACGATAGAAACTCAGGCAACCATAATCTGGAGAAACCACTGTAAGTTCAGTTCAGTTGCTCAGTCATGTCTGACTCTTCATGACCCCATGGACTGCAGGACACTAGGCTCCCCTGTCCATCACCAACTCCAGGGGCTTGCTCAAACTCATGTTCATCGAGTCAGTGATGCCATCCAACCATCTTATCCTCCGTCGTCCCCTTCTCCTCTGCCTTCATTCGAGACTATTACAGACAGATATTTTAGAGTATAATTATTGTTAATAGTTTATCTAGAAGCTCATATCGCATTTACATTTTTTAGGAGTTTTTTTTTTTTTTAGAGGTACTTTCTTTGTTGACAAGCTTGTGACAGATATAACAATATGGCAATTTTTAACTTATAATAAACCTAGGCACTATGAAAATTTTGTGCTTAATGTTAACGACTCTTAGACATGTCTATAGTAGAGCAGCGAAAAAAAAAAAAACCTGGATATTTAAAATTGACTATTTCCCAGTTCACCTGAATCTGAAATTCATTTATGTCAATTTTTTCTTGTATTTACAATTATTTGATTTGTAAGGGGTTCCTTTTCTTTAGCCCACTTAAATAAGAACTCACAACTTCAGTAATATTGTCAAAAAACATAAGACTCACACTGAGACATACATAAATGCAGACAGACAGAGATCTTCTAGTTCTCCGCCTGAGATTTAAAATATTTCTTTGAGCCCTATTTTATGTGGGGGTGGGGGTAGGGGCAAGAATACTGGAGTGGGTTGTCGTTCACTTCTCCAGGACATCTTCCCGACCCAGGAATTGAGTCCAGGTCTCCCGCTTTGTAGACAGACGCTTTAGCATCTGGAGCCACCAGTGAAGTTCTTCCAGGCCAAGAAAAGGGTTAACTTCAAGCTTTGCCCTAGGCAGGCCTTTTTAACAAGTTAATTGTTTTTAAATGCATATGCAAAAGAACCAGCCTTAGTTTCCAAGAAAAAAGAAAGTTTCATTGTAACCAATTTTATCTGGTTCTATAGAATATTTTGGCCGTCCTAGGTCAGGTCATCTTTCCTTTCTGTAGTTATAGTTTTATTCCCAAATTATAGACAGATTAGCTGATAAATAGCTTGGATTGTCTCTGTGGGGTGGATTTGCTCGTCATTGTGTTTCACCAGGGGCAGTAGCGAGGCCCGCGGCCTCTCCTGGAAGTGGGAGTGGGGGAGGGGCGCACCCGGAAGCCCATCGGGGGCGGGGCGCACCGTGAGCTCGACGGGGCGGGGCTCACCCGGAGCGCGTCGGGGGCGGGGCGCACCCGGGAGCGTGTCGGGGGCGGGGCGCCCGTGAGCTCGCTAGGGGCGGGGCTCACCCCGGAGCGCGTCGAGGGCGGGGCACGCCGGGAGCGCGTCGGGGGCGGGGCGCACCCGGGAGCGCGTCGAGGGCGGGGCACGCCGGGAGCGCGTCGGGGGCGGGGCGCACCCGGGAGCCCGTCGCGGGCGGTGTGAACCGTGAGCTCGCTGGGGGCGGGGCGCACCCGGGAACGTGTCGGGGGCGGGGCTCCCGTGAGCTCGCTAGGGGCGGGGCGCACCCGGGGAAGCCCGTCGGGGGCGGGGCGCACCGTGAGCCCGCTGGGGTGGGGTGCACCCAGGATTGCGTCGGGGCCGGGGCGCACCTGGGAGCGTGTCCGGGGCGGGGCGCCCGTGAGCTCGCCAGGGGTGGGGCGCACCCGAGAGCGCGTCGGGGGCGGGGCGCACCGGGAGCCCGTCGGGGGCGGGGCTCACCGTGAGCGCGCCGGGGGCGGGGGGGGTCCCAGTTGTGCTCTCAGGGGTCGCCATTGTGGCTGGGAACGTGGGCTTCTGGGTCCCCATGGATGGGCATCTAGTTAGCTGAACGGAGGGGTGCGGACAACAGGTAAGGGAACTGGGGCTCGGTGGAGCAGGGAACCACGCATTCCGCCCTCTCTGTTGGCACTGTCTCGGAGCCCCCTAACCTGGCGGTCTCAGAAAGTCCTTGGCTTTGGCGCCAAGGGCTTTACCGCTTTACCCCTTTGCATAGAGTTTAGACCCTTGAGGTTTTCCCAAGCAGCCTAGTGCCTGCAGGAAGTCTACGTGATTTATCTTGCCTGGTGATTTCACCTGCTGGGACTCCACAACCCTTGTTCTGGCCGGCTGGCCCAGCCCAGCGGGCCCTTGACCACCTGCTGGAATGGGACAGGGAAGGGTCCACGAGTTGCACCCTAGAAACTTAGTAGGGGGCATGGATTTAAAAAACTGGTGGCCACCCAGACAGGAAAGAAGGGAGGAGGCCACCTTGCTGCCCTTTCATGGGGGAATCTGTGGCTGTCCTGCTGAGAGGGGGCTTTTCCATGGGGACCCTGTACAATAAGTTTGGTGTTTTGGAACTGAATAATTAGGACGTGTAAAATTTTAAATTATGTGGTGCTTTAATTAAAAAAAAAAAGACAAGCTCCAAGTTTTTTGCAAATTGAGGTCTAAAAATTGAAGGCCTATTTTCCTTCCACTGTGGCATTCTATGAAGAAATGTGCATTTTTTTTAAGAAAACAGTCAGAAAAGTGAGGGAAACAGAAAACCCAGAGGTGCCCCTGTGGTTTGGCGAAGGCCTTAGGAGCTCATTTGTGAATGCTGCTGGCCATCGGGAGGCAGTCCCTTCCTGTGGCTGATGAGCGCAGAACTCTGCAGGCTTGTCCTTTGCATGGATGTTCTTGTTTGTGGAAATCCAGCTCGGAGCCACCTCCTGATGGCTCTGAGAATTTCCCAGACTAGACCCCTAGGCAAATCCCGCAGGGTCAGGGGCTCCTTCCTTTATTAAATTTGTCTGTTTGACTGAAAAGCAGCAATGACATATTTTTCTATCTGGTCTATCATCCAGGCCTTGGAGTAGTATTTCCCCTCCCCCTCAATAGGCTTGGGTTCCAGGGATGAATTATAGTCAATTGTCCATGATTTTGCAGATGGGGAAACTGAGAGCCAGAGAGTGTGGAGGACTGTACAAGGGAGAATGGGATATCCTTCCAGGAACCCTAGCTCCTAGGTTTTTAATGAACTTCCTACCCAGCATAATCATTAATTGGCAAGTGTTGACATTGAGAATAAACTATTGGTGGGAATGTAAAATGCTTTTTTAAAGAATGTGCCTACCAGCTGTGCATCTTATGGAGTATTTTCATTGTACTCCCTAACCCTTGGAAAGTGCTGGGCACAGGGCAGATGCTTCATCATTTTTATTGAATAAGTTCAATTTCACATAATTATATCCATAGTGTAAGCAACACTATGAGGTGTATAACAGTGATTGTCACAGATCAGTAAAGAAAGAAAACTTTTTATTAGGAAGACTATAAGAGAATTGCTAAGTTTTAAGTTTATCCCACAAGGATATTTAAAAAAAAATGAAACAAATCTCTCCGATCATCACCAAGCTTATCGGAGGTCTGTTGAGGACCCCACGCAAGGGAGGTTCTACCTCTTGGGACACCCCATCTTCAGCATCTCCCTAAGCTAGCAACCTGGGACAGCTGAGTACACTTGAAGTTCCTTCCTTGACCTCGGGAGTCTTTTTGGAAGACAATTTTTTGACAGACAGGGGTGGGGGAATGTTTTGGGATATTTCAAGTGCAGTCCATTTATTGTGCACTCTATTTCTATTTCTGTTTCCTGGTGGCTCAGTTGGTAAAGAGTCTGCTTGCAATGTGGGACACCTGGGTTAGGAAGATCTCCTGGAGAAGGAAATGGCAGCCCACCCCACTGTCATTGCCTGAAGAATTTAATGCACTGAGGAGCCTGGTGAGCCACAAAGGGTTGGACATGGCTGAATGACCGAACACTTATTTCTATTATTATTTCATCAGCTCCACCTGAGATCGTCAGGCATTAGATCCTAGAGGTTGGGGGCTCCTGCTTTAGTTCCCTCTTTCATCTTCCACACAGCTCCAGCCTGCTTCCTCCTCCTCTTCCACCTGCAGAACTACCTGTCGGGCTTCTCTGAGTGTGACTAAGAGTCTCCTTCCCTCACTTCCTTTCCTCTGAGTCCCTTCTCCTAACTGGGTTTCCCTGATTTCCATTTATGCACTTCTGCCCCAGGTGGTGCTAGTGGTAAAGAACCTACCTGCCAATGCAGGAATCCTATCCCTGGGTTGGGAAGATCCCCTGGAGGAGGGCACGGCAACCCACTCCAGTCTTCTTGCCTGGAGAATTCCCATGGACAGAGGAGCCTGTTGGGCTCTGACAGGCAGAGGTGACTGAAGCAACTTAGCACAGCACACCAGAGGACCTTTGAATTGCAGACTCATGTGATTGTTTTGGTTCTTTGGAGTCCCTTGTCGTTCCACGTGTATGTTAGGGTCAGCTTGTGTATTGCTTCCTAAAGGCCTGGAGAGGGTAACAGGCAGGAAGGCCAGGGGTCTCCAGACAGAGGGAATAGGCTGCGTCAGAGGTTTCTTCGTCTTATTCTTAAGCAGCCGGAGGAAACAAACGTGTTATATTTTTCCCCCTTCTCGAAACAAATTTAAAAGGAGGTTTCTATTAAAATTCTGTGTTGCCATGACGACTCCTGGCTCCACCTGAACTTAACTTTTCTCAAAACTTGAGCTAAGCAATGCATTTTTTCTTAAGGAAGTGTTTGTCTTAAGCTCTGTTAGTATACTATGTATTTCCGCTAGACTCTGTCTTCAGGTCGGTTCCCCCTAAAGGCTTAGAACCGACTTGACAAACCAGTCTGTTTTACTCATACCTTGTTCTGCTAATCTATGTTAATGAAATGATATACTTGCTTGGAAATCTGCCGTTCTTCAAGATTCATGTCAGTCATTTTATGGCCCGGGATGACTCACCTGCTGCCAATGTTGTCTCAGTGCATGTTGTGGGTGAGGGGCCTGGTGCCCTTCTCTGAGACATCGCCTTTCTTTCATTTGAGACTGCTAGTGGCTGTATAACATCTGCCTGAAGACTAGCAGGGGGACTCTTGCTGCCCCCGCTCTGATGTCTATGTCAGCAGCTTTCTCTGTCTCTTTTATACTTTAATAAAACTTTATGACACGAAAGTTCTGAGCAATCAAGCTTCGTCACTGACCCTGGATTGAACTCTCCTCTGGAGGCCGAGAATCCTGGCGCCTTTCCTGGTTCAGCAACGCCCTTTCAGTCAGTTGTAATTCAGACTGAATCTTCATTTCAGATTGAAGACGCACTCTGTGGTGTCTCCATTCTAGTCTTTCCGTTGCTACGGAATATGTGCACGTGTGTCTGGGACGTTTGTCAGCGTCGTGTGGGATTCCCAGTGTGCCAGCCTTGTCATCCTCGTCACATCCACGGCAAAGTGTTCTATTGAAAGGGAATTGTTTTTTTAAATTCCTTTTCAGATTGTTCTTTGCTAGTGTATACAGATAAAACTAATCATTCATTTTTATCAGTTTGGACAGCTTGATAGTTGTCTTTACCCTATTTTATTTTATTTATTTTATTTTATTTATTTACCCTATTTTATTTTTGACTATGCTGGGTCTTTGTTGCTAGATGTCTAGTTGTAGTGAGCAGAGGCTACCCTCTAGGTGCCATGCCATGGCTTCTGATTGCAGCGCTTTGTCTGGTTGCAGAACTTGGGCTCTGGAGCATGCAAGCCTCAATAGTTGTTCGGGGGCTTAATTGCTCCCGGGCATGTGGAATCTTCCAGGACCAGGGATTGAATCCATGTTCCCTGCATTGGTAGGCGGATCCTTTACCACCGGACCACCAGAGACATTTCCTGTTCCGTTTCATTAGAGAATGATATTTAAAACATACATGTGGGTGCTAAATATGCTCAGCTGACAATACTTGGAAATATATACATGTATTCCAGCTTACCTTTGAACATATTCAGTTAAAGGTAATCTGTGATGATGTCTCCATGGATCTTGTAACCTTTCCTTTTGTTTATCTGTAACTTCCCATTCCAGTAGTAAGATATCTGACTTCCACCACTTGTCATGTATAGAATTCAGTGCTTGTCCCATGTGGTTACTGAAAAAAACTGTCAGAATATCTTCCAAAGGGGGCTGTGCATGCGTCCCACCAGTATCTTGAGTATGTTTCTGTAGGATAGTTTACTATCAGTATACCCTCCGTGGCCAGTTGTCTAGTTCAGTCTTTACCAATTATGAATGGGCTTGTTTGCGCTAGTGTTCTTGGACAATTTGAGTACAAATTCTTTGTCAGATATGCATTTTTTTTGAAAACAGTTTTATTTATTTTCTGCTGTGTTGGGTCTTCGTGTGTGGGTTTTTCCGTAGTTTGGGTGAGCGTGGGCCGTAACTTGTGGTGTGCGGGCGTCTCACTGCAGTGGCTCCTCTTGTGGGGCACAGGCTCAATACATGCAATAAACCAAATCAAATCAAATTATTAGAATTAAAATATCTCATTCAGAGAAGTTAAAAATCACAGAACAGAATACAGAAACAACCAAGGATTTACAACTAGAGAAAACTGTAAATTAAATATATCCTAATCTCTAAAATTCTATTTTAAGTTATTTCTTACTCAAAGGTTTGCTGAATCTAAAGATTCATTTTTACCTGAGATGGAAGAAGAATTCTTAAAGCCCATCACTTCAAGTTTTGGCTTGATTGTTTATAAGAGTTCTGGAAGCTGAAATAAATATGTGCCTTATATATTGAGTTACTTTTTATTAATCAAAGGAAAAAGCAATTCTATATGCACCTACAACTCTAGAATGTTACTAATTAATGATAAAACTAACTCAGAACGTTCAGTAACTTTCATCGGAAGAAAACAAAATTCTTAATGCTTTCAGTAGAAAATAATTCAACAACATGGAAAATCA